AACTATAGAGATAGCTCAGTATAACCTGAGCCACTCTAACTATAAGCTTTATCAATAGGAAAGTTTTAAGCCTAGCCTTAAAAGTAGACAGGGTGTCTGCCTCACGGACTAAACCTGGTAGTTGGTTCCACAGGAGAGGAGCCTGATAACTAAAAGATCTGCCTCCCATTCTATTTGTAGAAATTCTAGGAACCACTAGTAAACCTGCAGATTAAGAGCAAAGTGTTCTGCTAAGAACATAAGGAACAATCAGATCTCTGATATAAGATGGAATTTAGCCATTTAAGGCTTTATATGTGATATGTGTGTATCTGATAATATCTGCCAAAATGGGACCTTCTTTTTGGTGAGGATAACTCTGTTAAAGTAAGTTTAGAGGTTACTGAAAAATGGCCAGAGAGTGAGGAAATACTGTTATTTCTCTACAATAAATGCCATATAACAGCACAAGATCAACAGTATGAAGATGAGAATGGGTAGGGCTATGCACATTTTAAACAAAGCCAATTAGAATAGAATAGAAANCAGAGGATGAAGAGAGCACCTCCAGCCAGTTCTACAGATCTACAGTTTAAAATACACGTTTTTGAACTATCCCACTGTCTGTCTTTCCTTGAATACTGGGTCCTCTGTTCTGAGTCATGACATGTTCAGACTGTATTCTGAGGGCTGCTCCAGTCTTATTCCAGTCTTGGAAAAAAAAACATTTTTTTTTTTTTTTTTCTAAATTTCTCACATTAGATTTTGGACTTTGCTTCATTGTCTCAACAGTCCATTAGGAGGTGCTAAGCAGCTTGGCCACAGTAGGCTCCATCCGCACATGCACAGCATTGAACCTCCGTTGTTATTATAAATATACACAAAGGGTTTTATTTGCCATCAAAATAATGCAAAATAAAGCATAAAGCATTAAAATAACACACAGCCAGGCAGACAAGCTCCGAACCTACTCCCATGTCAGAGGATGAAGAGAGCACATCCAGCCAGTCACAGTCAGAGAAAC